TCTATAAAACAATACAATATTCAATATGATTAAACTTTAAAATAAACTTAAATCTAAGTTAAAGTTAAGACTTTAATAATTCTTGAAAAATATCCTTAAGATTATACATGTTATACTTCTTGAGTAATATTATGCAATATTATATAATAATTATATAACCTGTTGTAGTTGGAATCCAACTTTACAACATATAAATGATATTAATGCAACCATTTTCTAATAAAATCATAGTATTTATAGCGCATTATAAAAAGAATGGATAAATTGCATTTCGCTTGTTTCCATGATGGAAATTATTAATTTATGTGAAATGAAAGTTGAGGAAAAACAATTAATTACAAATAGTGACCGCTTTTACTTTTTACGTGTGTAAATATGAGGTTATTTATACTTGCCACAGGTTGCCCATATTGGCGAGTCATCCAGAAGAGTATTAATTACATGTATTTAAGATTTTAGAGGATAGAACAATATACAAGAAAGATGTATCAATGCAGAAACTTTCCTGGTTATTTAGCATGACAAGTGTGTACGCACTCATGCATGGAGTCTCACCCGAAAGACTGTTAAGTTATTTTAGATGACCAACAAGGAATCGAACCAATAATGTTTGTGATTGTAAGACTCGCGCTCTTACCGATTCAGCTATGCAGGCTTTTTAAATAAATAAAAAATATTTCATATTTGTCGCGGGTAGCCAGATATTACCTTTGATTAAAATTTTACAGTTTCTAATAATTTCTTAATTAATAATTTTCCCTTTTGTTAACTTGATTTGATTTATCGTGATAATACATTTAGGAAAGAGAGTAAACATAAAATGTTATGAAGATGCTTTGAGAGGCTGCAGTGAAAAAGATGAACATTAGAAATGGACGTAGTGTCAATGAGAGTGGCCAACAGTGTGGCTTGTGAGAATCTAGAAGGTATATAAATCTTAAGACCATTGTATATATATGTTGAATAAATTGGGTTTTAAAGCACAGCATGTTTGTTTCTATATTTAAACGTTTGTTCCACTTTTGATAGAAGATCCTAAAAGTTTGATATACAATTGCCAAATAATTAGTAAAACAAGACTGATTCTTGTATTTTGTTGCAAGAAAATGAAACAGTTTTATGACAATTCTATATTTTGTTGGTTCGTTTTTTTGGATAAAATTAATTAATTAAAGGAATATATATTTGTTTAATGTACTTTTATTTTTAACTTGAAAACGACTAAATATGTTCTTAAATATAAAAAGAATATTTTAAATTTATAATTACATATAACATTTAGTCGACAAATATACGTAATAATCGCCAGCTTGAATAGTTTAACAAACACATTGCTTTCGCACTGTGCATTAAAGCACGGTACGTTTCCAAATTGCTTCCCGCCTTCGAAATGAAATGTAAAGGTGGTCATTCTCTTTTAATGCAATATGCAATATACATGCAGAGATTAATTAAAGTATATGCATAATTTCAGATTGATTTCTGAATAACCGATTTGATCTCTATTGCATCATATCTTCATCCGTTTCAAAACTTATATCATATGAAAAACAGTTTCACTTTTTGTCCTCTAGAACTGAAGAAAGCTGTGGGAGCATGTGATCTACGTGATGGAACGTGTTATAAGGATTATAAACAGTCCTTACTGGATGCACAAACATTGAAGTCACAACTAAATTACACGGCATACAGAAGCGCTGTTTGCACGTATGTTAATGTTATCTATTAAACTATGAAAATAAAAGATTGTGGTCTATTTGAAGGTCGTAAACATATCAAAACGAAACTGTTGAAGACAAGGTTTTATTAACAAAGCAGTTGTAAATGCATGATATCGTGCCCCGAGCACTGACTAAAATTAAAATGAAATACAATTATAAATAAATGTGTGCCGTATATTTTCCGCCGGTAACAATCCGCTTATGTAATATATTTGATAAATATAGCCTTCATCATTGAAATATTAGGCACAAGAAAACAAGACATGGAAACATCTTTCTCTATTTTCTGAAATATAAGGTATGCACATGTCTTTTGTAAAAATCAGTTTCTGGCAGGTTCAAACCCTAATACGTTTATCTCGACATTTCGTTATCTCGATATTGTTGACAGTTCCGATGACTTCGAGATAACGACAGTGGCCTGTATATAATTTCAATATATCACCTTTTTAACACAATAGTTATAAATAATATTTTAGGCTAATGTTTTTTAATGTTTCTAACCTATTTTATAAAGATGGTCGGTTTATAATTATTTTATTTACAGTGCGACCTCAAAATTTTTCAACTGTGTAGACTTTGTTGTAACCGGCGATTGTACTGTCGAGATGGCAACGTTAATGAAAGACATTGTTACAGATTTGTTCGACTACGCTAGGTGTGGATCCCAAGACCGCGTCTTCTTTTAAAAATATGGAAGGGACACGAACTGCGTCACTTCCGGAAGTGAGAAATGTGTAATTAACATGTTTCCTCTGATTGTGTTATCTTTAATGATATACATTTAATTTGTTTGATACCTATCTGTTGGAAATTTATCATCATAAAGAAAAAATAAAATATTTATGTACGCTATTTCTGAAATTTAAGCCAAAAATATCAACGCCAATTTGAAGACAAACAAAACTTTCAACATATATATTCAGACATATTGAATGTTTAAAGAATCGAATATTTTTTTTTGTAACTTATTGTGTTTTACAACGATTGAATGGTTTAAAGTTTTTGGTTTTGTTACTGACAACAAGTCAGTTATTGTTCGAGTGTTATTTTCCTTAGTGCAGACAGAAGAAATGCCGACAGGAGTATATTGACTTTTCCAACTGCAAAATACACACTGGATGAAGTTTTGTCACGTGACCACAAAAGCAAACAGCAAATATTATACAAATATGGACTTTTTAGCTGTTGAATATGATGTGATATGTACTGAAAAAATTAATATTGGCCGAGGCGATAGCCGAGGTCAATATTAATTTTTTCAGTACATATCACATCATATTCAACAGCTAAAAAGTACATATCTGTTTTATTATATAATGTATAAATAACTTTTATATGGCTTCATCTGCCATTGCATACGACGGAAATCATTATTTTTCAGCTTGTCTACTTTTTCCATAATTTGGCCCTTTCCATTGGCATGGTAATCCCTATTGTTCTTAAAAATGAAAAACGGTAACTTATATAGACTAATTTGATTCTTATGTACACCCAACTCAACGTTTTTTCAGAATAATAACAACAAACTTGGCGTGACGTCACGTCAAATATGATAAACAAGATCAACAAGGAAAGGCGGCGTTCAATGAACGCAACCCCCACATGACCCAGCAACAAGAACCAATGGCAAGGAGCCCAGGGGGACCCCAAACAAAAACAGGAAAGTCTTGCGTCTTTTAGGGATTTCCAGAAAATCTATTTTTAGAAGAAAAACTGGTGAATATACTCTGATATTGACCTGTTATTTTTTACAAAAAGTTGCTTGTTAACCAATCAGGGAAAGGCATTTCAAAGCTATTTATAGATTATATAATAATTGCAGATATTTTTTCCACTGCAGGAACAAAAAAAGACATAGACTTTAGGACACGGCGTATATTAAGCTTTTATATTATAGACTTTAGCAATTTTTTAGATCACTTTGTCACAAATGTTCTTTTCGCAAAGCAAACGCCGATAGGTTTTACTTTTTCCAATCATTTTTTCACTGGAAATACGTGTTGAGGTAAAATAATAGAGGATATGCCTTTTTAAATGCCATTCCCGTCCCTAACTTATTTATTATTCCATAAGCAAAGTTATATTTTGACATAGTCCCATGTAATTACCCGTATTGTCTAATTTGCAAACGTCGTTTGTACATGTAAAATATGCAAACGCCGGTTGAACATATATGATATATACATAATTCTTGTATCTGTTGCATCTCAGACATGATTATTATGATTAATTTATGATAAAAGAGATAACTTTGACTTTTGTATAGTTAATTATCCACATTTGGATGGAGACGTACCCCATGCAACATCTTACGGGGTTTATGTTTCTCAGTTAATTAGATTCGCTAGAGCTTGTAGCAACGTAAAGGATTTCAACGAGCGGAATATTTTATTACCAGCAAGCTTCTAAAACAGGGCTACCGCTATCATAAATTACGGAAATATTTTATTAAATTTTACAACCGTAACTTTGTTTAATTTCTAAATGCAATAGTGATTTAAAAACTCTTCTGCGACAAGGGATTAGCCAGCCTGGTTTTTATGGCGATGTGGTTTACTATTTTAAGACATACTGCATGTTTAGTGTTCAACCCTTTAACAGTTGGACACTACGCTTTCCTCTTTTGATTGCATCTGACGGACCAAGTGGGAGACCATATGATGGATAGTTCATAAAGCCCTTTGGGACTGAATTGTCTTAATGTTCGTCTTCTGCCTTGCTTCGTTGGGCCCTTGTAGGTGATTTTCTTGTTGCTCTGTCTTCCTGTAGGACATTATAATAATAATCAGTAACATAATCAGTTATAAATTATTTATCATTTAATGATAAACGTGACGTTGCCCCGTCCTTTTTATGTTTGGGGTCCGCCTAGGCTCCTTGCCATTGGTTCTTGTTGCTGGGTCATATGGGGGTTGCGTTCATTGAACGCCGCCTTTCCTTATTGATCTTGTTTATCATATTTTATCGGTGCTAGGGGGCGTGAGGGATGTTGTACTTATACATTATCCCTCATGTACAGACTCAATCAAACCGAGTCTGCAATTCTTATGTTATTTTGTATTAATTAATGCTTCCGAGGGATCACTTTGTTTCCAGAATTTTATCTACCTTTTACACTGGTGCTGGAAAACTTTGTCTTACATCCCCATGTAAGACAAAATTCTGGAAACAAAGTGAGCCATCGGAAGCATTAATCACAACAAAATAACATATGAATTGCAGTCTCGTTTTGATTGAGTCTTTAAATGAGGGAACATCCTTCACGCCCTCTAGCATCGGCTTGAGTGGTACCCAATTCTCAACACTTTATAGTGTTGGCGTCAATGATCCTGAAGGACCAGAAAATATAACAACACTGAAGTGAAGTACGGGTCAACTTTTTACGGCTGCCACACGGCACTTGAAGTACAAAATTCTGGAAACAAATGGATCCCTACGAAGCATTAATCACAACAAAATAACATAAGTGTAAAAATAGATAATTACAGAATCCCTAAAGAAAGACCAACACGGCAAAATTGAAAATGTTGCAGGCTCGGTCTCATTGAGCCTGTTCATGGACGGTACTGGAAAGTGCAAGTTTGTGATTAATGCTTCCGAGGGATCACTTTGTTTCCAGAATTTTTTACCGTCCACGCCCTCTAGCACCGGCTTAAGCAGAATTCAACATTTAAACATGAAGTAGTAAAATTTTGAAGTTAGAAACATCCGCAGACGTGTTCATACGGCGGTTATCATTGAACCTTCAATGTGACACTTCCGTGCCTTTCCATGAAAAGCGGCGTATGGTCCCCAAGTAATAAAAAGCGTCTGCCCTAAACGAGAAAACAATGGGCGGAACTAAATAAAATGGAATTTTGAAAGGGGATCACAGGTTATGAAGCCTGCGTATCACAGAAAGGACGTCAAAAGACAAATTTAACAAGCAGTTATCATAGTATTGCAAGCAATCCATAAGTCCCTTACCGGTTAGAACCCCAGCAACATTCTGATGGGCAATTGGCCATTCAATTTTACCAGTGGATGAATGACATGAATGAACTTAAATCTTTTGAGTTCTAAGTTTGTCTATATCACAGTAATGTGTTAAGTTTCCCTGCCTAGTAAGGAAATTATGTTTATACAACCCTGTCATATTATTATAATGTGGGATTTTAAATTAAATCCTATAAAAAATCTAAGTCAAAAAAAATCTAAGTTCAAGGGGGAGATAATTTTGATAATAGTCTTGCTAGAGTATTTAACCTCCTCAAAAATGTCGAGTGATAATAAGAAACATATATATGAAGTTTGAAGTAGATACATTAGGAAATAAAGAAGTTATTTAAAAAGACTTATTTAAAAAAGACAACATTTTTTTTCATAAAAATTCTAAGTTCAAGGGAGGTAATGCTGATAATTTTTGTGCTAGAGTTGTAAACCTTGTCATTTTTATGTTTTATGCCCTGTCCTTTTTATGTTTGGGGTCCACCTGGGCTCCTTGCCATTGGTTCTTGTTGCTGGGTCATATGGGGGTTGCGTTCATTGAACGCCGCCTTTCCTTGTTGATCTTGTTTTTCATATTTTGTCATATATGATGTGGTTGATGGCCAGAAACTTATATTTAAAGTTTGAAGCAAACACCTTAAGAAATAAAGAACTTATAGTGAAAAAGCTGAAAAATTTAAATCAGAAAATATGATAAACAAGATCGACAAGGAAAGGCGGCATTCAATGAACGCAGCCCCCACCCGACCCAGCAACAAGCGCCAGCGGCAAGGAGCCCAGGAGGACCCCAAAGAAAAACAGGACAGGGCACAAGGCATAGTACGGGCAGGCAAACCACTACATCAGAATACATAATTAGTAACTTATAAGGAAATAAAACAAAACAAATAAATGATTTAATATAAGGCCCATAATGTCAAAAGGCCGGGGGAAGGGGATAGAGACACGGGGAAGGGGCGGGGGGGGGAATAAAATAAATAAAAACTAGGGACAAAGGGAAGATACTTACCGTAGACGAGAAACAACAAGAGACATGAGCAAAAGTGTCACCAAAACAGTATAAAACAACATAGACATACATCTGAGGAACACAGAGGGGCGCCGCCTTGGAACGGTCAGCAGCATAATAATGACTACTGGGGAGTTTAAACCGGTTAATGGTGCACCAAACCTCGCTCTTAGCCCCACCATGTTCCTATGAACGAGACAGTGTAAATAAAATGAATCCCCGCCAAGTGAAATTCTAACAGTTGTTATGGTTACAAAAGGTTAAATAAGTAAAACACCAAAATGATCATGTAGAAACATATAAAAGTAAACCCAATGACCATAACAAAAGTACTCGATGTCTTAAAGGAAGACAGAGCAACAAGAAAATCACCTACAAGGGCCCGACGAAGCAAGACAGAAGACAAACATTAAGGCAATTCAGTCCCAAAGTGCTTTAAGAACAGTCCATCATATAGTCTCCCACTTGGCCCGTCAGATGTAATCAAAAGAGGAAAGCGTAGTGTCCAACTGTAAATGGGTTGAACACTAAGCATGCGGTATGTCTTAAAATAGTAGGGTCATAACCTCTTTTAATAAAACGTTATATAATTTTAGTAAACACAACAGAAAAATTACAATGACCCAAGATCTTACGAAGTTTGTAAACAACATCACCGTAAAAATCAGGCTGGCTAATCCCTTGTCGCAGAAGTGTTTTTAGATCACTATTGAATTTTGAAATTAAATCAAAGTTACGATTGTAAAATTTTGTAAAATATTTACGTAATTTATAATAGCGGTAGCCCTGTTTTAGAAGCTTACCGGTAATGCAAATATTTCGTTTGTTAAAATCCTTTACGTTGCTACAAGCTCTAGCAAATCTAATTAACTGAGATATATAAACCCCGTAAGATGTTGCGTGCGGTACGTCTCCATCCAAATGAGGATAATTTACTATACTAAAATCAAAGTCATCTCTTTTATCATAAATTTTCGTGTGAATCGAATTGTTTTTGATAGTGATATGAAGATCCAAAAATGATGTAGTTAAATTTCAAGAATTCGTTTTATTAAGTTGTAGCTCCGTAGGATAAATATTAGACACCATTTGATCAAAAAAAGAATTATCTAAATTAAAAATGTCATCAAGATATCTGGAAGTGTTATTAAATGCTGATATAACATCTTGTTGTGTATTTTCAGAGAGACTTAACATAAAATCTCTTTCATAGCAATACAAAAA